GCCTACCCCAGTTACCACTACTGTGCATGTGTGTCAAGGACAGAAAGGCAGATGTGGCAGTGGAAGGTGTCAAAGCAGTTTGGAGAGAAAAACAAAGTAAAGAACAAAAAAAGAAAACGATTAATCAATTATCAAATTATTCATCAATTATTTTAATAATTGATTAGTCGTCGATTAATCGATTAATGGTTGCAGCCCTAGTTTCAAGGCCCTGTCAAACTGTGACATTTTAAAAAACTTATGCAATTTTTGTCCTACACACTGTTATAAGTTACACAAGTTAGGTGTAAGTGGTGAATATGTTGTCAGCACGACGGACAGACAATTTTGGACATGCTCAAACCTTTCAGCCCATGCCAACGTGCTGCTGATAAGTGAGGCATAAGTTACAGGTATGCTAATTTATGCATCAGTACATATGTTTCAGGTAAGTTGTTCAATTGTTATTCATGAGTGGATATAAGTCTGACACCAGCGGGACAATTCTGAAACAGCACATAACTCCAGAACCATGTTTAAATGTACCAATAGAACCAAAGATCTGTTCTGGACTCTGGAAAACAGAGTAGGGTGTTTATGTTCCAGCCACAGACAACACTTGGAGAAAACTCAGGTTTTTTAGAAAATGTCCGCTCATCATTTAATTGTTAGTCGACTGATAAGATCAATCAACGTTAGTTGTGATGCAAAAAATGCAAACCAAAATCATGTCTTTAATTCTGATCATAACCTACAGAGTGACAGGTTTTACCGTTAATATTCTTTAATTCCCTTAAGCAAAGCAATATCCATAGACTATGAACGGCAGCAAAATGAGCTGAGTTAAACAGAGCTGCACCTCGAGCCGCACGCAGTGATCCGGGGGGCTTCGGGCTGCGCTCCATGGTGGTGATCAGATTGTGCCACAACAACCATCCCATTTGTTCCAGAACTCGTGCAGCTGTTGATCGATGTTGTTGCTGTAGTGACCCGGGTCTCTGTTTTAGGATGTATTCACACCTGACTCATTTGGTTTGCTTTAAACAGACCAAAGTTCGTTTCCCCTGTTGGTCCGAACCTTTCATGCAGGTGTGAATACACTCATGCAAACCCTGGTGCAGATCTAACAACCGGGCCGAGGCCAGTTTTTGAGGTGGTCTTGGTCTTCTTCCAAACAAACTCTGGTGCGGTTTGCTTCTGGTGTGAATACAGACCAGACTCAAACTGAACCAACTACAGGAAACATGCGCCTTTTTGGACTTCACGGGCCACTGTAGAACCAATGAGCAATGTTCTTGTAATGTGTACATATTATATAACCAGAGTTGCACATCAGCAGTGCGCAGGTACGCATGCACGATCAAAGTAGGAAAAAGTGCACCAGATGGAATGTCATAAAGCTCACTTGCGTACCTAAGATTGTACCTGATTGTCTGTCAAAACAACAGCTAGCAGGGCTCTAGAGTGCGACCAGTTTGGTCGCAAACACGACCTGATTTCTTGTTTTAAAAAAAATAATCCAGCCGCACTGGTGTGAATGGATCATTGTTCGGTGCGCCACAGCGGGACCCTGATATAAGGATTAAACGGACTCTGCCTTCAACAAATCAGAAGAAGTCCAGAGCCGTTTTGTCCAATCAGAGCAGAGCAGGGCGGGACTTTCAGTGAGAGCAGTTTGGTTGAAGCAGTGGACCGGCTCGACTCGAGCTGCTGCAGCAATCAGTCACATCTCTTCCTCCGTTTGCTTCTGAACTACCAGAGACTTTGGTCTGTAAAACCTAACTTTACATTAAATATATGTTCAGAATGTTGTTATTGAACAGATCTGTCCAACTCTGTGTGAGTGACTAAACTCTCCTCCTGAGAGACTGCTGTGACAGGAGCG